CATAGCAACAATCTCGTCTTCTCTGCTAGGCAATATATATGTTTCACCTGCTTGTTTAATGAACACACCATTTTGCATACTGTTAATAGCCCAGTATACTCTATTGATATATGTTGTCATTAAACTGCTGTTACGTTTTTTAGTTAAATCCATATTTCTATCTATATTAAGCACATGTTTGTTTTGCTTATTCTACACATAGTTGAGTTGCTTGTTTGTTTATATTCTTGTAACCAAAACAGATCTGCGATATCAGGTTAGTGCCAATTCCCCAAAATATTACAATTTCCAAATTTTCGAACGTTTTCTTCAAGAAATTTTAGTTTTCTTTGCTTTTCTATATTGTATCCCTTGTGTTTGTCTATTTCTTTTCTTTTAGTATATCTTTCTTGAATGCTCTTTCTTTTTACTTAGTTCTGTCAGAGTAGTTTAGAAGGCCACTTTTGTATAAAATCAGTTTTCCTATTTGGTTGATTTTGTGTTTAGATGATCAGCGGTGAGAGTTCTATAATACTTGTATTATAGCAACTGTTTTTAATAATTAGGTTAAGATATTTGTAATAACAATTGCATTAATATAACTAACAGGTTATAAAGTATTTGTATAACTGATTATATTAAGAAATGCAAATCAGCATTAGATAGTATAAACTTCAAATAAGTCTTTGTAGTTATATAAATTTATTAAAATTGAGAAACAAAAAGTCTATTTGAGAAGATCTAAATAAAAAGATAATATGAATTTTTGACAATATTATTATAAAAGCTAAATTACTTGAAACAGATATTAATGTTAAAATATTTGAATAGGCAAGAACCTTCAAGCAAAGATACCACCAACCAGGCTATTAAAATAAACTAAAAAAAAAAAATATTGAGCTAATTTAATATATTAATAAACTAGTTATAATTTTATATAGACTATTTGAATTAGAAGTTTAAAAAACAAATAAAGATATACTAAAATACTAAAAATATACTTTAAAGTAGATACTATATTCAAATAAACTTTATAAGAGCATAATGGTTTAATGACAAGCTCTGACTAAAAATAATAATTTTACTATAGTGATATCTAAGTTAGATACAAAAATAGGTATAGAAAGCTCTAAAATATTTAATTTAAAAATAAAATAGTTCTAATGTTAATACAAGTTACAAATTTAAAGAATTTAAAATGAAACACTTAAGCAAAAATGTTAAATATAGTAATTAATAAAAAATCTTTAAGCAAACTTTTTAAATAAGTAATATAAAAAGTTATATATATAGCTAATTATATATTCTTTTTGTAATAGTTTATAGAATTATATTACTAAAAAAAATCATTAATAAAAATCCAAAATATATAAAAAAATAATATAAAAAAATTATATTATAAAACAAAATAAAATTAATAAAAAAAAGTTGATAAGTTGTTAACTTTCAAGTAGCAAGTTATAAGTTCAAAACTTATTAATAATAAAATTTAAATTTTTATTTGTATTATAGCAACTGTTTTTAATAATTAGATTAAGATATTTGTAATTATGATTACATTAGCATAATTAGCAGATTATAAAACATCTGTGTAATTAGTTATACAGAGAAATACAAATTAGCATTAGATAATACAAATCCAAGATAAATTCTTATAATTGTATAAATCTATAGAAATTAAAAACAAGAAACCTATTTGAGAAAATTTAAATAGAAAAATAATATAGATCTTTGATGATATTATTGTAAAAATTAATCTTAAAAAATAGATACTAATGTGAAAAAACCAGATAAACAAGAACCTTAGATAAAAAGTATTACTAATCAAACTACTAAAATCAAATAAAAAAAAAGAATATTAAATTAATCTGATATATTAATAAACTAACTATAATCCTACTAAGCTATCTGGGTTAGAAATTCAAAAACAAAAATAAAATATACTAAAGTAATTCAGATATGCTATAAAGTAGTACAAAGATTTAAGTAAACTCTGTAAAAACATAGTAATTTAATGACTAACTTTAATTATAAATATTAGTTTAGTTATAATAATACTGAGTCAGCTATAAAATAGATATACAGAAGACTTTAAGAGATTTATCACAAGGATAAAATAGGCTTAAGATTGAGATAAAGATTTAAACATAACCCAGTAAAGTTAACATGAGTTGCAGGTTCAGAGAGTTTAAAATTAAATATCTAAACAGAGGTGTTAGATACAGTAATTAATAGAAAACCTTTAAGTGAACTTTTTAAATAAATAATATAAAAAAGTTATATATGTAACCAATTGTATACTTTTTCTGTAATAGTTTTACATGGAACACATTACCAAAAGTATTTATAAAAATCAAAAGACCCAAGAAGTCACCTTAAAAAAAAAAATTTAATAAAAAGACAAAAAGAGAAAAAAGATCAAATATAAACAATAAAATGCTAAAAAATGAAATAATTTCAATAGTAAATAAAGATGACCTAATCATAGTACATAAAATAAAGAAAAAAGAAAGAAAGATATTAAAAAGCAAGAAATATAACTAGGATCCATTAAAACTTTTATTAATAAAAATGTGAAATCATTCTTTTATGACTTTCTGAACTAACTTGATATAACTCCCAAATTCAGATAATACCCTAACCGGTGTGACAGACTGCCTCTAGACACTCTTGAAGCAACTAGAAGATGTCAAATTAAAACTTAACTGTGTACAAGGTTTGTATTTGAAAAATATTTGTTCGGTTTCTGTTGACTTAACCCATACATATAATTCCCTATATTTAATTAAATTTAAGTTTATATAAAATACTAAGATTTTACTATAAAATTCTAATTTTATTAAAGAAATTCCCTGCTAACTATATTAAGATCAAGAGTATTTAGTAAAAATACCCTTGTTCGTATGTGTACAAGCGGAAATTAAGTTTCCACCAATATCCAATGGCTTAGGATATTTATATTACAAATAACAAATACATTTCCTCCTCAATTCTTCTGCGATCATGTTACTACGTTTCAATGTAAAAGAAAAAATAAATATGATTTCTTTATTAGATCTAACGCTATTAGAGATATTGTTTAGCGTGCAAGATGTTTGGTTTTATATTAACATATTACTATTATAATATACGTATTATCTTTTGTATGAATAAAATATCAAAACGATCATAAACAAATGATTACAATAAGAGTTGTAGTGCAAAGCTAACAATAAATAAAGGTTTTTTTTGTTTTGTTTTTTTACCTTAGAGTCTAAGAATTATTGTAGATTTAATAAAAGTATACACCAAATGCCATAACCACACAAATAATTGTATCCTAATTACGAAATAACAAATTAATTTATAGTTAGATAAGTGTAAATTGGCTACAAGAATTTATTATGCTCCGTTGATGATTAAAGTGATAACCGGAAGAGTAAAAATAAAACATATTACATACATTTTTAAAGATTTCTTGAGCATAATTATCAGTATTAGGGTCCCATAAGCCATTAATTTGCATTCTAAAAAGCAAATATTATTATGTTAAAGTAATTGATCTATTAAAGATATGTATATAAAAACAAAAATGAGGGTTTTTGGGATTACCTAGCTCCAACTCCTTTATTTTCTAGTATAGTAACATTAACAATGTACTTATACCTATTAAGGTCTAAACCTAATGATGTTATAAATTAAAAATTTAGAATCAAATTCAACAGAATGTGATAATGTAAATCGTGTAAAAAAAAATAATAATTGTAAAAGAAGTAACCTAATAACTTTGCTTTAATTCCTTCTGCTATTTCGTGAGCCCACCCAGGAGCTTGGTCTTTATCATAAATAGCTTTTTCTAATCTTTCTTTAAGAATACTTTGAATTATTTGTTTTACTAAACGTGGATTAAACCTATAAATTATTTAATGAACAAGGAATTAAAAATCTTAAACCTTTACAACCTGATAGCCTATATAATAGATAGAATACATACTTTTGAAAAAAACTTGGCCTAAAAGCTCCATCACCTTCTGACTCACGACGTTCATGACCTACTGAGGTATAAAGTTTTTCAGGATAATACGGATAAATTTCTCCATAGCTCATTTTTTAACAATAAATTTTTTTTATATTAACGTAAATATGAAAAGAATTTATTCGTCGTTTCGTTAACGTTAACGAGACAAGATTTTCCACAATTTATTGTTTTCTGTTACACAATGACATATAAACTGACCTGTGCCCCAAATATTACTTATATTGGTTAGTTTATTACCGTTTATTTTAACCATGTTTTAAAAAAACCAAATAAATTTCCTGCATGATTATGATTATATGATCTATGATTTATATTATTATTACCGCCTCTAATACTTTACAAATAATAATTTTAAATTAGCATCCCTCACCTTGGCACAAATGAAAAAGAGAGATAAGAAAAAAAAGGTACTAATAAAATACAATATGATAATTAAGTATTAAAATGACGACAAAGGTAATTGCGTTGAACTTAATTACAAAATCAATTATTAACTTTTGCCTTTTCCTTTAGGACAAACATGATAAACAGATGTAAAAAAGAAATGAAAAAGACACCATGAAAAGCTAGTTTAAATAAAAAAAAATTTTGTACAATATCCAATGTAAACTATTAAAATGATGAAAGTTCTTATTTGAAAAAATTCATGTAGTATTTCTATAATATTAAAAATTGCTTAATTTTTGTTGCCTTGAATAATGTTTACCAACCTAAATTATAAAAACATAAGTAATCAGTAAATGTTAATGAATACAATATTAGAATTAACAATTCATTAAAGAGTGAAAGTTACCAATCTAGGCCCTCATTTAGGCCATCACCTTTTACAGCACTTGTTTTATAGATACTCCACTGCCGATTTTTCAACGTACTCAACCCTAAGGCATCAGATACTTCAGCTGAGGTCAATGCACCAACCATATCTTGTTTATTAGCAAAGACTAATAGCGCAGCTTCTCGTAATTCCTCTTCATCAAGCATGGCGTGAAGCTCCTCTCTTGAGGTACTCATACGATCACGATCTATAGAATCTACTACGTATATTACTGCATCGGTATTTGCATAATAACAACGCCAATAAGGCCTTGAAAAAATATTAAAGACAATATTAACAGATATAAATTGACAATAGACACAAGTAAAAAAAAAAATTAAATATATATATATATATACCTTATACTCGTTTGACCTGAATTTATCAAATATAGTTTGCATATAGATGATGTGTAAAACAAGCCAATTTAATAAAAAGTCCAGATAGATGGTGTTTCAAACAAGCCAATTTAAATAAAAGATCATAAAGATAATCTAATAACAATGATGATTCTCACCTCCTAAATCCCATACTATAAAAAAAGATTGAAATTAACTTTGTATAATGAAATTATAAAAACTATGAAGAATTATAGAATATTTATTAATCTATCAATTTACCTTGAAATTTAATATTTTTATATGTTACAGTTTCAACATTGAAACCAATAGCTATAAATAATTGGTGATAAATCAAATTTAAATTTATTAAATTTAAAATATAATTAAATTATAATTATTAAATTTAAAATATCATTAAGTCAGTAAAGAAATTTATAATAAAATGAATAAACGCGCGATCTAGTAATAAACTTACTCGGAATAGTTGTTACTACCTCACCGATCTGAATAAAGAAAAAAAAAATGGTATCAGTACATTTCCAATAAGTTTCTTTTTTACTATTATTGAAAAGAGAATTTTTATCCGAGCACTCCGATCTATATAACCCAAAAATATAAATAAACTATATGAATAAAATAAATTATACCTGTAATCGGTACAATATTGTTGTTTTACCAGCTCCGTCCAAGCCTAAAATGAGTATTCGTACCTCCTTTTCACCCCACAATCGTCCCAACAATCTGCTAATATATCCGCCTATTCAGCAAAAAAAACCAAGTAAAAACTGATGTTAACATTATTGATGAGCTTGATCCTAAAAATTCAACTCGCAAAAGATTAAAAGCAGACTTACCCATCTTTTTTTAATTTTTTAGGACGTGGTGTTGGCAAAAAAAGTAAGCAAACTATATATATATATATATATATTGGTTGAATCACCAAAATGTCTTTGAAAATTCTTTTAAAAAGTGAACCAACGAAATGATAAAATGTAGTAAATAAAAGATTGAAAAAAAATCAAAAATATTTGGGGGCTTTTTTTATATATATATATATATACAACTGGGAATCAAAAGTTTACTCGAACTGGAATTTTTATATAAAGTAGATCAAACAGTACGTATAAAACAGTACAACCAACCACATCAGTATGCATGACTTAGACAATATGTCCACGTTAAAAATTATGAATGTGTAACTAAGAAAACCACAGGAATAGGTTTTTTTGAACCATTTATGATTTAAATGAATAATACGTAACAAAGAACGATAAGACCAGGACTGGCGTAGACCGATCTTGACCAGACTACATAATTTAACCGATCCGGTCAGAGTTTTTACGTAGCATTGATCAAATTACATACATAATATATATTGATATGTATAACTAAACTACTTAATAATAATCATAAAAATCTATGATACATAACGAATCATATATCGATAATTTGGTTTAATTTTCTTGATTAATGCAGTAAAATTTAAATCTACGTGTAATTATATATACATTCTTTTTAAATTAATAATAAATAACGATATTATTTAATTTTCTTTTAATTAATGAAGAATCGTTATTTCTTGCAACAAAAAGTGAAAGTACAAACTTGTTTTTTTTTACGACACATTATAATTTATAATAAATTGAGAGTAGATGACCTAAACACAAATGATAAATGAATCATTGCGAAGCCTAAGTAACTTTGGTCGTTTAACATATCGAGATGTTATATATTTAAACCAATCAGAATTGGCCGTCAAACAAAATTAAATTTTTATAATTGATGTCGTTATATATTAAGGTCAAGATTTTTACTAAGTCAATTAACGTTATTAAGTAAAGTTGTTCGGAATAATGGATTTGATTTATCCTGAAATTATCATGTAAACTGAATATCTTTTACGTTTATACAAAAGTTCAAAAATTTTTTTTCTATAAATGAAAAATGCGAAAATTTCTGGCTATATCGATATGAATTTATTATTTCGATCAACTTAAGATATTAAATTTGTACGTACGTAGAATTTTTTTGACCTTAATATATAGCTATGATCATCGATCCATTCTTTTTGATTCACAGGGTTTTTTTTTTTTTGATTCATAAAAATGGCTCACTTTTTTTATTAGGGTTATTAGAAGGGTTAAGTTAAAGGGTTAAGTTATATGATAGTATTAAAAAAGTGGCCTTTTTTTATGAATCAAAAAGAATGGGATTGCCAATTCGACCAATAAATTATTCTATGAGTGCGGCTAAGTCGATCCTGTTTTTTTTGATAGACTCAGCCGTGATCCGAAACGTGTGATATGTAAGTAATAGCTACGTATTAGGTTCTATATATGTATAAGCGGAAATGAAAATTCCATAACACATAACGGTTAACTATTACTCGAGGTATCCATTAGCTGCACTCATATGCAAATGACCTAAATTACTCCAATGACCTGAGTCATTTGAATTTTTGATCAAATGACCAGGTCATTTACCATCCCTGATCGATCATAGGTTCACCTTTAGTATATTACAATATATTATAACTTAACAAAAATAAATTAGATTCTCTAATCGAATTCCATAAAGGAAATTCCACAAAATAACTTTAAAAGGATTCCACAAACAAATACACCCGAAACGAATAATTTTCCTTATAAATATTTCAATTTAAAAAATTTAATTAGAAAGGTAAAATAAAAATCAAAAAAAAATATTATTCAGCAATTGATCCCAAATCACGCGTGATATGATTTGACATAATCTCTTAAATAATATCAAATACGATGGAATATCAAATACGAGGGAAAAATGTGGTAATTACATAATGTAACAATCATAATGCACTTCTTTTCTTTCAGGTATACTTTCATAATTGAAATCGTCATTGTTAGAGCCATGGAGTCGCCGCGTCATATTCTTTTTTTTTCAGTATAATTTCGTCGTCCTTAGGGCTATTGATTTTTTTTTCAGTCATGATTTCATTATTGACGGTATCATTTTGGTGTGGTTATGCCTCACACGATTTAAACCTAGCACATCATATGAATATGAATTCGTGCAAAAATGAGATGAACTCTTACAGGACGAAATATGGAGTTCAGTAAATAATGTTTTTTAGTGATGTTTTTTAAAGAAATTTAGTCCAATTAATCATTTTTATTTTATTTATTTAAAAAAAAAAATTGGTTGTTAAATTTTGAGAAAGATAAGATTAATTCGCGCGAGGATATCAATATCTCGCACGTGAGGCAATCCCCAAGTATTACGATTTCGAAAGAGTTTAATGACTTTTATTTTCGATTTTAGTTTGAATCGTAATTATTGGTGGGTATTTAAAGATCGTAAGCGTTATCATTACCATTTACAGTAACCGGGGTTCTTATTCATACCTGTGGGTAATGTATAAAGAACTGGGAACTGTATTTGGGGATATTTCATATTAAAAGTTGTAAATCAATATCGATATAGTTGTACATACCCGGTCTTATTCAAGAAACAAGCCAGTACAATAATGGAGGTGATGAATAATACCCGGCATTAATAATATTTTTTTAATGTGAACAAGGCGCGATTTAAATATGTTGAAAAATAGATAACGATCGCTATGCAGGCAACCTTATTTATTATGCAGTGAAAATAAAGAGATAGTGACTTTATAAGGTATGGAATACACTTTACCGTATTGTCTCGAAATAACGCCCAGGGGGTGTATGTTAAAACTTTGGTCAGAATTAAGCTTAATTTAGGCCGAATTATGATTAATTCGGGCCCAAGAGTTTAATCTACACCCCGGGACGTTATTTCGAGACAATATGTATGGTATTCGGTTTATCGATTTTCTTACTAAAAAGTTCTATATAATTATTATTAGCAATACTGAAATAACGATAAAGCAACCTTTTATATGAATTTTTACTAACGTTAATACATTACGCATAAAAATTATACAATAATTTTTAAGATACCGATACATAGTACGTAAGGATTATGTAAAAAGTTAAAAAAGAAAAATCATTAAGTACGCAAAATATAATTATGGTAATGAAAAAAAAATATTACGAAAGAAAAATGTAGTAATAACTTTTATTCCGAAAATTTTCGTAACAGTCTTTTTTATAATAAAATAAATTTATTTTATTTAAATTTTATTATAAGTTAAATAATGTCAAATGGGTTCTTTCACAGCAAAAACACGACATAAAGTTGAATGGTATAAGAATCATTAGACTCTAATCGATAGCGATAGGTATTACCCTATAAAAATCGAAAGTTTATTAAATAAAACTAGCATATTAAATAAAATTATCCAGAAGATCAAAATATATATATATATATTTATTTTTTATGTCATACAAAAAATATTGAAACCAGGTTTAATTTATGATTGTATGAAGCTTATTATATATATAATCCTGGTTCCTAGGTTTTTAATTTTGAACCTAAAAGTTTTAGAACCTAAATAAACCTAAACTAAGTTAACCAACCCTAACTATAACATATCATACATATGTAACTATGAAGGTGAAATAATATATAAAGATTTTATTTATAATGAATTGTCCATGGTTTAGTAGCCCTTTCACTAGCACGTTGCCTTTCCAATTCTTCGATATCATTTTCCATTTCAATAACACCAGCGGTCAGGATTTTTACGGTATCTAACCAATGATAATTCCGACGATCCAATTGATTTCTAATTCTCTTTGCAAACTGTTCCATCTTTGCAGCATATTCAGCAAATTCATCATGATTAAAAGTGTGACTAGAGACTTTTGAAATTTTTTCAGTTTTTTGTGAAGTGGAAGGAGTATTCGGGACCATAGGAATGGGCATAGAAGGAGGTAAAGGGGGATAAGGAATTGTCGGTATCATAGTATAAGTACCGTCAACAGTAGTTGGTAACATAGGAACGACAGGAACAACAGGAGTAACCGAGTATTGGGGAACTAATTCAGGACATTTCAAATTAGCGATTCTTTCCCAATAAGTATGAATTTGTTTTGGGGTGTAATTTTTCATAACATTTTTAGCTCTGAGCAATTGACGTAATTGAATAGGATTTAAATGAAGATTTTCTTCAATCTCTTTTCTACACTCTTCACTAATTTCTGAAGTGATAACGGGTCTATTATGAAGCATGCCATGATGAATTTCAAGCATAGCTTCAGCAGCAGGCATATCAATTTTCATTTGCATTTTTCCTTGACATGGAAAGCGTTCCATTCGTTTTCTATTAGAACCTTCTTTATATTCTTTCATCGCAACTACGGATTGACTACAAACGTAGTAAAATTTTGCGACATCTTTATGACGCATCGAAGTATTCATACAATTATACCTAAATAAATAAATATATATATATTATGATTGAATTATTAAATGATTAAATTAAATCATTAAAAATTTAAAAATGTTATAAAAATACATGAATGAAAATAATTATAATAAATAATAATAATAATAATAATAATATTTATAGTAATAATAAATATTAATAATATTAATAGTAATAATACTAATATTAATATTATTACTACTATTAATATTATTACTACTATTAATATTATTACTACTATTAATATTATTACTACTATTAAGATTATTACTACTATTAAGATTATTATTATTACTACCATTATTAATATTATTATTACTATTGTTATTACTATTATTATTACTATTATTATATGATTAAGATCATTATATTACATACGTCCAATTATATTCATCAGCTCTCTCTATTTCTTCTACGATCCATCTAGCAACTTCCTTAGGATGTTCACTACCATTTATCATACTTGTAAGGTTTAAAGCCACGCGTAGGTTTAAAGCACATTGTGGAGCACCGTCAGGACCAATAGGTTGAGGGTTATGAAGAATAGCACGCATTTCAGAAGCGACAAGGTTAGACAACTCCATTAGACCAACGGTTCTAAGGGATACACGCGTGGGCTCTTCTTCTTCCACGACTTCGTCATCGCGTTTTCTCTTTGTTTTTTGTTTTTTAAGAGCTCTTTGCTCTATACAACTTTGACAAGTTTTCCATTTTTTATTTTTATGAAAGAAGGCTTCGTCAGGCTTAGTTTGATGACAGGACGTACACACCGGCATATTAGAGGGATATGAATATTGGATATAACGTTGGGAAACAACTTAAAGACAAATTTTTATCAGTAGAAAATTTTTTATAATAATAATAATAAACAGTTATCAACCGTATAAGACTAAGAGGGAAAAAAGCTGGGAAGAATGTTGGGCAACAAGGAAACACCCAGTGAACGCAATGGGAAGATTAATTTATATGAAAAATAACGCCGAAATAGTTACGCATGATTCCGAAATTGAGATTGGCTGGGCATATTATACCCACGGGTAATTACCCCCTATAATCTAATCCACCGGGTAGAATCTAGACCAACTGCATAAATTTTATTTATTTATAAATGATATACCAATACTATATAAAATAATTTATATAATGCACACTGCAGATGCGCCATGAGATGCTTTACAGTAAATCATACCCTTTCGGTTATCCTTAAGGTATTGTACTCATAAAAAGTACGTATCATATGTAATCCGAATATTATTGGTATTGTCCGACGGAACTCCGAGAAAATGAATGGAGTCCGCGGAAAATGAACAAGACGATTTATCGTTTATCGTTTGTCGAGCACTTCAGATTTTGATTATTATTATTATTATTTTATTTGATGGTGAAACAAATAACAAAGAACTTATTGGTTAAGGATCAGAAAACGCGAATGACGTTAAAGTTGGATTTAACACCGAAACATTTATCTTTGGATTAATGTTTAAAAAAAATTTTTATTGTAAAAATATTATTATTTATTAGTTATTACTTTAATTTTTTTTAAAAAAATTATTTCAATGCATTTATTAAAATGTGAATAATAATAAAAATAATAATAATAATAATACATATTCTTTCTTGTTTTTTAAAGAAATAAATCGTAATTATTAACTTAAACCTTTAATTGCAATTCATTCAATACCAAGAATACCAGGATTGTTCTACTTGTTAAGTTGTTGATAAATTCTCATTTTTTTTTAATATTCTTGATTTCCGATTCCGAATTCCTAACATCTATCATCCGACATAATGGCTAAATTGGATAGTAAAACGGGTATTAGTTGTAAACATTAGTAAAATTTTCTCACGGGCGCAGTCATAATATAAATTACTATACAAATGGTCATTCCACCAAACATATAAACGCCAATATACATGACGCTTAGACGTAGCTAAAATTGTTTGTACGCCGTTTTCATTAAAAATGTTAGTATTATTAGTGTGTGTCCCTCATCCTCACATATTGCATCGTCTACAATATAAAATTCGGAGCTTAGGGACCGATCACGTAATAGCCCCTATACTTCAACAACAACATATTATATATTATATACATATTATATACATACACTTGTATGTACGTACTTACGTACATAAATAAATAATAAAAAAAGATTGGACTTCTGTAGCTCAGTGATTACTAAATTGCAATAGTACAATTATACGTATACAATACTTATGTATTAGTCTTTCTTTCATTAAATTTCGTCACGTTTGAATTTTTTTTAAACTTACCGTTTAACGTTATTAACCTTAAAACCCATACGTACTAGTACGTACGTACGTACTTACGACCTTTTTTTTTTTAATAAATAATAGTGCAACGGTGACATTGTTACTAATGTTGTATGTATACATATACATGTATGTATTTTCTTTAATGTGAATTATAGACATGAATTTTACTATATACAGTACATTTGTTATCAATAAAAAAATATGTAATATTTAAAATATTACGTATAGGGCTATGCAATGTCAGATCGGATCTATTTGTAAGCTTTGAAGTGATTTTACGTATGTATGTACATACGTATTTAATCTATATAAAAAATTCTCAGATTGAGTAAAAAGTCAAGCCAACTAATTCCCTACGTACGTATCACTATGCGTGACATAATCTATATAATTGTTAATCATATATTTACTACGTATACTATATATCGATACGTATTATATTTTACATACTGATACATATTTTAAGTATTATACGTACGTACGTATAAGGCAAAGAATGCACATACGTATGTACGTATCGTATGTATCGTATTATAGGTTGGTATTGAAACAAATAATATAAAATTTATAACATACGATACGTCTCATTTGAATAGTCCAAAATCATGCGATTCGATTACCAAGTTCCAAGAAAATTGCAAGAAAAGTTATGGCTCAGATAATTCACAATCGAGTTACACTATTAGAGTCAATTTGTCTTGGAGTGACAAATAGAATAAGCAAAATCATTCGATTTTTATAAACTAATTTCTTAATAAAACAATCGCGTTTAAAACATGCTTTCATGTTAAATCGTACCCTAGTTAACGTTAAGATGTATATATTGTTAAACAATTAAGTGCTAAAATATTCTCATAGGAATTGTACCTGTAAGAATCATTATTATTACAATTTGTTATGAAGTGAAAGGTTGTCTATATTTGGATCAAATTTTATTAGTAACGGTAAAGCATAGTAACGTACGTATCAAATAAATTTCAGTAACATATATATGGTATATCGACATGAGTACGTACGTACATAAGCTTTCGTATCGGATAAAACTCCGATCAGCACATGTACAACATATAACTATTTTTGGACATCTATTTTTACAAAAATGTTTTTCATAATCTCTAAGTTAAAGCACACCAAATCCGCGACTTGTTTATATATTTAGTTCTTAGAACTCTTTTTTATTTAAATTTATATGATTGAAATATACTTTAATCCAATTTGAATTTATTTAAATCTAAAATAGATTTATTTAAACCTAAGGTTACTTCGAATTAATTTTTTATTTAACATATCATTATATTGATATTTTAAAATTCTAATTATAAAGCAATTTTCGGGATTCTAACAAAAAATATTTTTTGCAAAATTTTAATATAATCTTAAACTATTTCTAATTCTAGTACTAACTATATTAAACTTCAAAACAGGTTAATTTTTTGTTTTATAATTAATATCTTAAACAAATTTATAAATAAATAAATAAATTAGTACTTATATATAAACATTATATAAGGATAAGTTAATAAAAAAAGAATAATTTTTTTTTAAGTAAAAGTTTTTTTACTTTAAGCTTAAAATCTTAATAACAATTTTATTAAATTTGATGCTTTTTTATTTTAATTCTATATAATTTTAAAATTAAATAAAAACATTTTTAGCAAATTTGATTAAATAGTTATTAAGTTATTTTTGATTTAAAAATTAAAAAAAATTATTAAAAATGATTTGTCTTTTTTTCTATTAACTTACTTTCATATGTAAACTAATTTATTTTCTAAAAAAATATATATAATAAATATTGATATTATAACAATACTTATTAAAATGTAGTTGTAATCAAAATTAGATAATTTTATATTATTAGATTTGTCTTATTAAAACAAATCAAATAGCACAAAAAAAAAATATTTAATTCTAATTATTGAAGCATAAAATATCTTTATTTAAATAAAAAAACTGATTTTATAATTGTCTTCTTATAAGAAGTTATTATAACATGTTAAAATTAATTTTATTTTACTAAGTAAATTGATATTAGTATTAAGTAAAGTTGTTTACAATGCAGTTCTATATAATATAAACCTTTTGTAAATTTTGAATAACTTCTTATTAATCTAGTTTTCTTTTATATATTTTTATATCAGTAATATAATTATAATATAAAATTATATAAAATAAAAGTGCATTAATAAAAAATTATCTGAAATTTACAAAAATTTTATATTATCTAAAAATTTGTATTGTAAACAACTTTAGTTAATATACTAAGATTAATTTATTTAGTAAAATAAAAATAATTTTGGTATGTTATGATAACTTCTTATAAAAAAATAATTATAAAAATTAGTTTTTTATTTAAATAAAGATATCTTATACTTTAGTAATCAGAATCAAATAATTTTTATATTATTCAATTTGCTATAATAAAACAAATATAATAATATAAAAATTATCTAATTTTAATTATTAAATTACAAATTATTTATTGTAAAATTTTTTTTAGTCTTAAAATAAGGTCTTGCTTATATCTTTATTAATAATTTTAGTTACTAACTACATAAAGTTACTATATATAAAAATAATTTTATATAAATGTTATGACTGAAACTAATACTTACAATTAAGATTAATTATTAAACTACTAACTATATCACTAACTTAAATACAAATAAAAGAGAAAACTACATTTAAGAATAAAGATTAGACATATTTTAGGACTTGGAACCAGATAACCTTTAACTGGTTAATCTGAATCTATTCAGATATTTAGGTAAAGATTTGATTTACATAGGTAATATAGTACAAATATATTTGTTAGATTTATCTAAGTTATATAGCATGGATATACTCGTTAGATACATATATATATAGTATATTGATATTAGAGTAGCTGCGCAACATAGTTATGCTAATACCAAAAATGTTATACTGTATAAGTATGTTTTAAATTTTATAAAATAGAATATATTATTTACATTATTTTGTTTTCATTTTAATAATAAATATATGTCATATAAGTACTATTTATGCATCAAATAGACTCGATTAAACTCAAGTGATTTATTTGTTATAAAGAAAAGAAAAATAAATCTGTTACTTGATGTTTCACATCCAATAATGGCATATCTGGTTTTGAATTCAATGAGTTCGCAAATTGATAAAGATCGATTCGAATATAATAAATAAAAAAATGAAAAAGAATCATTAATAATAGCTTAGATAACTTTAACCCAGTTTAGAATTTTTTAAACTATTTATATAAGTTTTGAGAAATTTTATTTCTTATGCATATATAAAATTTATAGTTCAAACCGATTGACTGTCATAAGTCTTATACACCTGTCAATTGTACTGCTTAACTAATTTCTATACACTTATAATCAGATCTTTTATTTTATATTGTATAACTAAACACTTTTACTATCAAAGCTAACAAGATAGTATGCTATAATTATTACACTGAATAAAAGAGTTACAGTACAATTCTCTAAGAGTTATTTCC